CGGTATTGCAGGGATGTTTCTCTTGAAAGAGATCAGCAACGACTGACTCTTCTTGCCATTCAACAACATGTCATTGTGATGTGCCCAGGTGTCAAGTTGAGTGGCTTCTGCTGACATAGAGTTCACTGTACTGCCAGTGTCCAAGGTGATTGTCCTGGACAGACTCACATCGTCGGGCGTACCCCACATCTAAGGTATCCCTGTAGACTGTGGTGCGGGAACTCATGAATAACAGGAATAGATAGGGTGACAGCACCCCACCTTGAGGTACCCCTGACGTGAGTGTTCTCCAACCGCTGAACTTGCCGTTTACAGAGACCCTCTGGGTGCGATCCTGCAGGTAGTTGTGTAACCAAGCTACCATACGTGGGTTTCTGACCACGTCGTTAACACGTTGAAGCAGGATCGCATGATTCACTCTATCGAAGGCCTTGCTCATGTCGGCGAACAAGGCCTGGACTGCGATGTTGTCTCTTGAGTCGAGGGCTGTCAACCACGTGTGCACCATCCTGATAGCAGCGAGGACGGTGGAAGAGCCCTTCAGGTAAGCGTACTGGTTGGTGATCACCGGAGTGATGGCAGGTAAGAGTCTTTTGAGAATACACCTCTCCAGTAGCTTGGCCAGAATAGGAAGGAGCGAAACAGGCCTCATGTCACTCGGGTTAGCTGCTCCCCTAGACTTCGGGATGGGAACAACATTCGCTGCCTTCCAGATGCTTGGAGTTACACCCTGTTCGTATGAGGCATTGAACAGGTGCGTTACGACAGGAGCCAGGTCCTCGGCGTACTGCTTCAGGGTCCATGTGGGTAGGTCGTCTGGACCACTAGCTTTGGTGGAGTTCAAGCTCTTAAGCAGGGCCTTAACCTCACCAATCGTGCACAGTTCAACTGCTTTGGCAGGACGTTGTAGGGGAAACAAGTACAGGTCATTTCCAGGGCACCACGCCTCAGAGAAGTGCTGGTTTAGGGCCTCAGCAACTTCGGGGTCAGATTTACCCTCAATGGTAATGTGCCTAGCTCTTTCCTGCGACCTACCAAGCTCCCGATTAACAAAACTCCACCATTTCCGTGGGTCTTCCTGTTTCAGATGTTGTGCGAAATTTCTGTAATACCACCACTTTGCCTGTCTGATGGCGGTATCAGCTTTGTTCCTAAGAAGCTTCCACCGAGCAGATTTACCATGGCGTTTGAACTCCATGGTTCTTTCCCTGATGATACGTTTGACTCGCTCGGTCATCCACTTCTTGTCACAGGCCCTCACAGAAGAGACTTTTACAGGAAGGTGGTTGTTTATCAGGGTCATGATGAGACTGTAGAAAACGTCAGCTTTCTGTTCAACAGAAGTGGCTTTGAAGACAGGAGACCAGTCCACCGTGGCCAGTGAGAGTCCCAGGTTCAACTATGCCACCGGAGTTGCCACCCTCCGCATTACCTTGGCTGGTTTGCTTCTTGGTGGTTGTTGTACACAGGGCGGTAGGAGAACGCAGGAGTGATCACTGGTTCCAACTGGTGGAAGGGTAAGTGGTTGTATCAAGTTTGCAGACCCTGTTTTGTCATTATTACAAGGTGGATGATATATGATGCCAAGGAAAAGAACTGGAACAGTACGAGGGAGCCATCTTGGCCTGACTTGTAGCCACATTACCTCTAGCGTATCAGTTTCGAGATCGTGCAGTCTTTTAGCTGGTATGTCATTAGCTATGAATGCAGCAACTCCACCACCTTTACCACAGAGTCTATCTTTCCTGAACAAACATAGTATTACTTCTTTGCGCATTTCAGCAATTCCATGACCTTGCAAAGGACACAGTAAGGTCGTGTGAACAGCTGGTCCATGAACAGCACCTACAGCAGCAGGGCTGGGCAGCTGTCATCGCCAATCTCGAGGACTGCTCAAGGTTAGAAACTGTGACCCCGTGTTTTATTAGTGGTTTCCCCCAAAATGGCCATGTAGAGTCCCTTACAATGTACAGTATACTGTACAGTGGGCATCCAGGCCCCCAAACCCTGTTTTAACCCCAAATCAAGTTGGTATCTCTACTTGTACATGTATCTGTATAGCTGGTTTATTGGCATAACACACCTGCTACCAAGCAGTCACTGTGGTACAATGTAGGTGTAGAAATTGAGCTATCTGCTGTTATTTTGTTGCAACAGCTGTAAACTGGATTGTAAATCTTTGAAAAGGGACACACAGTCAAAATTGCCAAAAAGACCACCAATGGGACAGTAAAATCTGGTCTATGTGGACAGGTGGTCACTATAGTCAGGATTCTCGATGTGCCAATCCTGTAGGAAAAATTATCTAGTACATGTAGGCGGCCTCGAAAAAGGGGTCACACTGGCCTGGTGGTATGTAGACAGGTTTGACAAATTTTGGGGTAAGTCCCAATACTTTGTTAGTTAGTGTTGGAAGCTAAAGCTTAGTCTTCATTTCATAGGTTTGACTGTATATTGAACTAATGTCTCTTACATCGTATATAGGACACATTACTAATAGATGTAAACTATTCTTGCACAGCCAATTCAAGATCCGAGTAGACAGTTTTGAGGGTCTGTACAGCCAGTACCTGGTCACCAGACCAAAGTTCATGGACATCATTCAAACGTGAGTCTCTGTACTTTACTTTTTTGGTATTGCAAGTAATTGTTACAGGTAGCCAGTAATGGTTTATTGGTAAGAACACCCACAGCACAACACTGAAATGAGCTTTTCTGTTACAGTGAGGCAATGTTTAAGATACCAAACATTTTAAAACGCTGAAGTCACATGAAATAGAAAGTTTTATCCCTGCTTGTTTAAAAAATCTTGTGAGGCCACACCAATTTAATTTTTTGGTTAACGGATTTTCCTAGAAAAATAATGGAGCGGGCGGGCGAAAAAAAAAAAAAATAAACGCAGGCCTAGGCATCCTATTATGGCCCAAAATGGTACGATAGAAGCCATGAAGTCAACACACCAGGCTGGTTCAAAATTTAAACAATGAATTTTGAACTTTTACTGATACCATTGCATTGAAAGATGGAATAACTGTACCAACTAGGATGAAAAGGACTGTTTTTAACTGTTCAGGGCAAAATATAAGCATTTTGCAGTTGATTTTGAATTTTTATTTTTATTTGCAAATCAGAAAAAAATGAAGCGGCAAATCCGTTAACCAAGAAATTAAATTGGTGTGGCCTGATAGATAAAAAAAAATTGACATGAGGATTTACACGGTGCTCAGGATTTAATGGAGAGAATATTTCCAGAGTGGCAGATAGTTGTGACATGCTGGAAGTAGTTCTTACTTGGTATCCCATCTGTGTTGTCTCTCCAGGTTTCCCAACACAATAAAACTGTTAGAGAAGACCCCACTATTGTCCTGTCTACAGGGTGCTCCCATGCAGAGTATGTCTACAGTCATAATTGTGACATGCTGGCATTATGTTATAAGATGCTCTTTTGTATCATATCCTAACAATTCTGTGTTCTCTCCCCAGGTTTCCCAACACCATAAAGCTCCTAGAGAAGATCCCCCTGCTGCCCTGTCTACAGGGCGCTCCCATGCAGAGTATATTTCCAGAGTGGCAGATATATAATGTATAAAATATGACATGTTGGAAGCATGGTAGTTGTTGTTACATCTATGTTCTCGTGTCCCCAGGTTTCCCAACACCATAAAGCTCCTAGAGAAGATCCCCCTGCTCCCCTGTCTACAGGGCGCTCCCATGCAGAGTATCCAGTCATCCGGCTGCAAATAAACATAACTGCAAACATAAACATAGGCTTCCTCACACGTCTACCTTATGTTACAGGTTTCCCAACACGATAAAGCTGCTAGAGAAGATCCCCCTGCTGCCCTGTCTACAGGGAGCTCCCATGCAGAGTATCCAGTCCTCTGGTGGGGTGGTCACCAGTCGCGTGTTTCACCCTCAAACTCTGCTGCAGTGGATCAACGCAAAGGTATGTAGCAGGGATAATACTAATGTTATGAAATTAAGGTAGTTTTTTTTTTAGCTTTTCTTCTGTTTAGCCTTCTCCTTTGCTGCCACTCCCCCTTACCAATAGAGAATTGGTTGGCAACTTCTATGTTCTAAATGTTTAAGTAATGGTCTAGGAGTTTGCATTGAAAAAACAGCACCAATTTTATGAGAGATCCTTTTGTAAGCAAGGGTTCTCTGAATAAGATATCTGAAGTCAAAATAAACATTCTGTTCATTTTTAATAAAAGTGTAACAGTTTATGTTACTGTTGATTAATGTTTCTGTCATCATTGTCAAATTGTACAGGTTCAGGTCAAGACATGTACACCTAACATACATGTAGACCCTCCTTCCCCATCATAGTGGAAACACCACATTGACATGTATTTCTCAGGTACATGTATAGTATCATCCTTTACTCATTTCTCTCCAGGACCCCAGCCATACCCTAGAGCAGCTGATGGAGCAGTGTGTGCGATGTATGGAACAGCTGGATGAGACTGTCCTACAGGGTCTCATGACAGAGTGCAACAATATTCTCAGTAAGTTACAAAAAAATGTTTTTAAATTATTTACCCATTGGTCAGCATGTCACAAGACCGAAGGCAACTCCAAGGTTACAGGTCATCTTTTCTCTACCTCAGAAACATCAATGCTAAGGGGCTTACAAGGGTTACCAAAAAAGCTTGAGAAATACATGTATATAGTATACAGTAAGTTTTTTTTTTGTCTCACATGATATACTGTTAGTACTTTTTTTCTTATCTTGAATTTACAGTTGAATCAATTCTGTAGTACAGTAATTTGTGGTGTCAGTAATTTGCGGTGGAGAGGTCACCACAAAAATAAAACCACTGCCACTGCAAAAGTTTCTGCATTTACAGTATTTACCGAGTCTTTGTAATAACTAAGGCAAGGAAAGGTTTGAAATGTAGAACGCACAAAAACAAGAGAACTGTTGTGTTGCAGGTTCCTTAAACAACCCCCAGATGAAGGAGATTAAAGGCCTGGAGGACAGACTGTACGGGCTGGAACAGCTCATGGCAGGGACCAGGAAAATAGTGCAGGAGCAGGGAGACATGGCACAGGTAAACATACAAACAAACAGACAAAATAAACAAACAAACAAACAAACAAACAAACAGGGACAGACTGTACGGGCTGGAACAGCTCATGGCAGGAACCAGGAAAATAGTGCAGGAGCAGGGAGACATGGCACAGGTAAACAAACAAACAAACAAACAAACAAACAAACAAACAGGAACAGACGTTATTGGACTAGAACAACTTACGGCAGGAACCAGGAAAATAGTTCAAGAACAGGGGGACATGGCTCAGGTAATAAAACAAACAAATAAACAGGTGCTGAAGGTCCTCAGAGAAATGAACACAGTAGCATTGGACTATTTGGAGACCTCTATATCTCCTCTCCCCACCCCCCATATACAATGTAGATGCTAGAATATCCTTTATTATGCATATTGCCATGTAGCAGCACCGTTGCCACTAGTATCAATGGAGAAGTTAAAAAAAAAATATCCCCTGCCCTGTTCCCCAGGCTTTTGTACAGAACCAGAGCCGGTGCAGTAACCTCAGCGATCCCTCCATCCTCTGTGTGTGTGTGTGTGTGTGAGTGTGAGTAGAAAATGAGGCTAACAGCTGATTCTGCCTCCTGTTCCCAGGCTTTTGTACAGAACCAGAGTCGGTGCAGTAACCTAGGCGACCCCTCCATCCTGCCGGACCTGTGTGCCAGCCACCGTAAGCAGCTGCTGGTCATGCTCAACAACCACAAACAGCTCAGGGACATCCGACGTCGATGTGTCATCGCTAAGGACGAACTGTCCGCAAACCTCCACACTAGACTGAGGCAAGTTAGAGATTAGCCTGACAACAAAAGTTTTTTTAACCTTGAAATCATCATTGTTATAAATTACATTTTAACTAATTGACGGTATACCGGTAAGAAAATATGGGTGGCCTGAATGACTCAGGGACATCCGATGTTGATGACATTGTGTCATCGCTAAGGTCAGGACGAACTGTCCGCAAACCTGCACACTAGACTGAGGCAAGTTAACCTTACTATATCATGCTTCTGTATCTGTATATCTGGTATAACTGCCCTTTGGCACAAGCTTCCATTGGCCAGGTGTCTAGAAGCTTAATGGCCAACACCTTTATGTACAGAGAATTATTGTCAGATTGAGAACTGTTAGCACAGTGTTGGAAGTAGTGGACATGATATCGAGAGGCCATGTGTTCGATCCCTGTCATTCCTGGCTAGACATTGTGTCATTGGAAAAGGCACTTCACACAACTGCTAATTTCCTAACTCCACCCAGGTGTAAAATGGGCACCTGACTCTGGTTGTGAAGGTAAAAAGCAATTGCAATACTACGCCCAGGATGCAGTAGAGTATACAGCCTGAAAAATAGCCCCAAAAAGGCAATGGGACTTTGCCTTTACCCTGTACCCTATACCTTTACCCATTGGTGTAATAATGTGGAAATTCATTCCAGGTGGATCATGTACATAGAGAAGGCCATCTGTGAGCTGGACAGCAAACTCACCATCTACTACGAGAACATCAAACGCCTGAAGAAGCGCCTGGAGATCGTGGAGCAGGTTGGGAACATGAACATGAACATAAACTTGACATTAATTAACCCACAAATTACAGAAAAAGTTGGATCCTTTGTCTTCCTTTGTCTTCAAAAAAGAAGTCAAACCCAGTAGTTTTTACTAGTAGTTTCTTAATAGTTATCAGTAGTTGTATGTGTAGTAATTGTCTGTTTTTTTATACCACATTATGTTTCTTCTGTTCCTGCAATTAGCCCTCGGGCATGAATTTGCAATAAAACAATTATTTAATCTGTACTGAATAGTCAACATTTTGATGACTGTCTGCCATCTTAAACCAGTGCTAATATGACTGGTTTACTGTGCAGTGAAGCTATCATTACAATCATCATCATCATCATATTACAATCATATTAGACCCTGATGAAGATGCTAGATGGTCATAACATCTGCTATACAAGTGGTTGTGAATAAAGAACTTTGCTATTCAATCATTCACCATCCTGATGAAATTATTCACGTATGAATAATATCAAGTTTTATATCAAGTTTTTTTTGGAAATTCATGCCCGAGGGCTAATTGCAGGAAGAGAAGAAACATTTGGTATAAGAACAGGTAATTAGTACATATAGAACTACTAAGAAACTACTAGACGTGAAAACTACTGGGTTTGACTTCTTTTTTGAAGACAGAGGAAGACAAAGGATCCCACTGAATAATGAGTAGTTTCTAAATGTTTGCTCAAGTATTTTAAATGTTGCACACTTTGTAATGAGAAAATTTGAGTTCCTTCTTTATAAAACTGTAACTACACAAACCTACAACTACAGGTTAGTGAGGCTCCCACCGTCTACTGCCAGGCTGTGGCAGAGACCTACAGGAGGAGGCAGTTCTCTGAACAGTTTCTACAGGTAAGACTACTACTTTAGCTATTGCTGCTACTACTACTACCACTTCTACAGTTACAATAATACCACTATTACTACTACTGCTACTGCCAGGCCATGCCAGAGACCTTCAGATGTCTATAAAGATTTGATTTGATATATTGAAATTGCAACAGTGCAATATACGCAGAACAGAGGCAGCTGTTGCTGGTGTTGTGTCCCGCCATAGTGGGGAAAGTCGTGTAAAGTGCCTTTTCCAAGGGCACAAGATCGGTGGCATGTCAGGACTCGAACCCGGGACCTCTTGATTCCAAGTCGCACACGCTGCCGTTGCGCCACACGACCCCACCCCAAAGAATATAGTGATACATCTTGTAACGTTTGTCTCATGAGATCTGCTGGGAATGATTCAGCAATTATTATTTCTGGGTGCGGAAGTATTGTTTAGGGTGGCTGAGCTGTGGGTTTGTGTATCTCTTGTCCAGACAGAATCGGTTGATAGCAACTGGGTTGGAGAAGATTGATTGACAGGTAGAATGACATCTATTAGGTCAAACGGTCCAGACACAGGAAATGGGGTGAACTAGAATCTGGCTGGCTCTAGAATTGATTAATCTTTATTTGCATGTTCATGACCATGGGGCTAAATGCATACATCAGAATGTGATGTTACATGTACATCGTACTGAGTAACATGATACATAGGATACAAGAATCTGGCTTGCGAGAAATTTGTATTCAACATGGTAAAAATTAAGGAACCGAGCATTGTGTAGCTTCTAGAAGTCTGAAATCACTGATTTAATGTTTAATAGTTGTAAGACGAAGCAATAATTTTTGCTATATTTGTTATACAGTTACTGTAGCAAAACTGCCTTCATCTCTCTTTTTTCCTCCCCCTCCTCCCAGTGGGCAGGGAACTTGTCACAAGACTTCACACAGATGAGGGAGGAGGAGGTCAACAGAAGAAAGGAGTTCAAAAACATCTTCAGTAGGTTCAACTCTTATAATAAATGTAGCCTCTACCAGGCTTCGAACATGGCTGGAAAGGGCAGAGAATGGTCAAATAGACATTTGACATTCAGCAGACCAAATCCCCTGGCTCTGCTTGGCCAATTTCTACTCCAGTCGCTTTCTACACTTCTGAAACCTTGTAGAGGTTGTTACTCTTATCGGTTTTGGACTTGAACTGCACACAATAACATTGTAAAGCATAGAATCAGCAGTTATCCCTTTTAGGTTTCCTGATTAAGATATCTACATGCCTGTAATATTTTTCTTCTAGGAAAACATTTCTTAAAGATGATGTTCCCAGGAATGGAAGATTATCCACCAGGATTTGCGGTAAGGAGAGGCACTTTCTTTCTTATACTCATTGGTCCCCACCTAACTAGACAAAGGCCGCTTCAAGGTGTGACATAAAGGCCACTCCAAGGTTACGTGTATGAACAAAAATGTAGCAGCGTCTCTTCTCCCTAAGTCAGGAACATCATGATTGAGACAAGCTCAACTCACTGAGAGTGAGGACTAACCGACCCAATAGGAGATGCATGGAAGATAATTAGAACTGAGATCAGTCTGTATACGTTTAGTTAACGTTTAGCACACTGAAGTACATGTAATCATTTGGCTCTCAAATCTCTAATTAGTTAAGGGTTTAGGCAGCAGGGAGAAGGCCAAGGAAGTTGCCGGATGAGAGGAATTGCTGTTAATGTACATGTAGCATTTGATATTAAAAAATGTATGAAATAATCTTATTCCATAGTGACATAGCTGAAAGATGGCATTAAGCATGATGCCCACTATTTAATCTCCCTTCCTCTTGCAGACAAAACCTCCCGACTCCTTTGACAAAGACCTCCCCTTCATCACCCAAGAGGACGTGCAGATTCTACAGGACACGGTTCCTGAACTGTCCGAGTCTCTGAGGTTTGCGGCTCCATCAGTCATTATTCACTGTAAAATATTACCGGTAATGGTACTACTGTAATTCACTTTATGTTCACGATAGCAGAAGTTTGTGGTCTGAGAAAAACTCAGCTACAGAAGTTCTTAATAACACTGTACTCGCCATCATTATTTCCATGTTACATGTACTTGCAATGTACTTGCAGTTTAACAAATTATTGTGCATCAACCACCATAGGGGCAGGCACAAATTCCTGTGCGTCAACCGCCATCTCAGCAGTATTGTCAGTGTTCATTGAGACAGCTATGTTGCCATTCATCATGCATAGAAAAATAAATATATTTTACCAACTCAGACGAACTTTCATGCTAATACATGTATTAACATTACCTCACTGCCCAGGGTACCAACTCCAGAGGAACTACAGCAAATGTCCCAGCATTCCTCTCGCTTCATGCACTTCAGCCTGACCTCGCATGACCCGACCCCACTGCGGGGTCAGAAGTCACAGGACAGCCAGGCCACGCTGGTAGGCCCCTCCAGGTCGTCCAGTGAGACCAGTGCCTGTCCACAGACCACGCCAACGTCAGAGTACAGCAGGTATGTATTCCTTCAGCATAGCACACCAGATTTGCAGGCATGCTGTAGATTTGTTTCTACATGTATTTCCGTGGCACTAGCAACTTGTTCTAGCCTGCCTTAGTTTTATTCCCCGTCATCTCAATTTTGTTTGATGCGCTTGACAATTGTAGGAGCGGTCTGGGAGCATGCTACCCTTGGAAAATTTTGAAATCTTGACCTTCTGAAACACTGCATTTTGAGGGCCAAATTTTGCTGGTAGACTAAGCTTAGTTTAGCGACTTTCTATATCTTTACACGCCGATTCTTGTCTGTGTGAAAGATGATGGATTGATTGGGCAAAATTTTTGTCTGTCATGAGCTGCAAAATTCCGTCAAATGATGGAAAGACTGTCTAGAACACTGGGCACTTGCACCCCTTTCATAGCTTGCAGCTTGGTTAACGTTCTGTACCATTTCCAGGTCTCAGAGCCAAGACACCATTTCCAGCAAATCCTCCAGAAACGATGAGCTGGCCAGCGTTCCAGAGAAGGAGGAGGGGATGACAAGTCCTCCCGCTGTTGCACATATGGAATCTACACCTCAGGTATCCTTCAGTTCCTGGTTCAATTATTATGTTTATTTTTGCAGAAGGAAAACATTGTTTTTGCTGTTTCTTCTTCTTCTTCTCTCCAAACAAAAAAAGGTCAATGACCTGGGCCAGACGCCTGTCACCATGGTAACTGGTACTGTAGCAGACAGTGTTGGCTTACATCATGTAGTAAGTGACAGTAGAGTTGGAGGGGCTGGTCACCATATGTTATATATGAATATGTATGAGTGAGAATGAATAGAGCAGTAGTTTGTGAGAGCTAGACCATGTGTAACGAAATGAATTTGGTTGTACCATTCTAGTTTGTATTGAAATAAACCATTCATTCATTTATTTATCCAGGTAGCGGAAACTTCTCACGCCCCCCGCCCAGTGCCTCACCGCAGTGCCCCCCCCAGTAACGTGACGGTGCGCCGGATGCAGCAGCAGCAGGAGTCCGGGTCCTACTCTCCTGACAGCATCGACTCCCACAGCGTCGATCTGGAGTACGGCAGGTACACACATTTTTGTTTTTTTTCCATTCAACAATGATACAAATGAAGACATTGTACATCACATTACAATGTAACAGGGGCCATTCCCACTCGCTTTCTTGGCTAGGGTGTGTGCTCCCTAGGACTTTTTTTACAGGGGTATTTCATCCCCACTGGATTTCTGTGCTAGGGTTTACTCCCTAGGACTTCTGTACAGGGGTGTCTTCCTTCAGGTTCTATATATGCAGGGTTTTTCTTCCCTCAGTGAATCATAAATACTAAAACATATTGCCATGGACATATTCAGGATCACAATTTTTTTTGCAAGATTTTTACACAAGGTACACACATTGTACAAAGTGTGATGATTTTGTATATGATATGGGTTTAGATCCAGACTTTTAAGTGTGCATTTGCAGAAAGTACACGTACATTGCAGAACAAAGTTTTGACATTTCGGAATATTACAGAACACTGAAAAAAAATATGTCAGTTTCAGTTTATTTATTTCACCAGCAATAACACTCAGGTACATAACAACCTGCTTTTCAGGCAATACAAACGGTTAACAAACTATGCAATATTACGATAATCATATCACATACAAACCAGAATGACATAACAACAAAAAACTCACACAATTTCTACCCCTGCAGCCCCACCAAGAGGCCGACAGTCGTGAGCGACAGTTTTGTGTCGGTGAACGAGAGCCCGGATGAGTTCATGTCTGCGACGGACGTGTGGCAGTTCCAGGAGGGGGGGTACAAGAGCCCGTCCAGCTCTGTCGGGACACCGCTCGAGTCCGTAGAGTCCTCCGTCGTGGAAACTGTGGGGAACACACTGGTGGTCAAGACAGAGGGGGCAAAGGTATGCAATTATATGGTTCTTATTTACTTAAAGTTAAAGGTTAAAGTTAAAGATTAGTAGTTTTTACTAGTAATTTCTTAGTAGTTATCAGTAGTTCTACATGTATTAATTGTCTGTTTTTATACCAAATGTTCCTTCTGTTCATGCAATTGAGCCTTGGGCATGAATAAAACTTTAACTTATGTATTTAGTCAGTGTTATAGATTGTTTTTCTTCTGTCTTCCAGTGAGACCCACTGTAGGTTTCTTTCATTTCCGTGACACTAGCACCTCTTTCATAGTTGTTCATACAGAATCTTGCAGCTTGATTCTGTACCCTTTCCAGTTTGTCTTTGTCTTTCTTTGTATATGGATCCCATACTGTTGTGGCATATTCTAGGTTCGGTCTTACAAGTGATGTGTATGCAAGTGAGTGTCTACTACTACACTACATGACAAGGATATTAAACATCCTATTCCACAGGTGAAGTCCCTTCGCAGCTGCCCAGTTGCAGCAGAGCCTCCAGGAGATAGAGTTTGAAATGTCCCTGAGGAAGCACGTTGGCAGAACGTACTGCGCCTGTGCAAACCCCCCATTTTTCACGATTTCTGGTGGATTTTTGGTCACTGTTTCATCAGAATTTTGGCCTGCTGCAGGCGATATTTTTTCTAACATAACTTTTGGAAACTACAGTCGGAGTGTTAACCTTATATATGCAAATACGACCTTATAATAAGTTATATGAGACATTCTGCTGAAGTGCTGTGCATTACGGGTTTCGCGCAGGTGCAGTATGTTCTGCTGACGTGGTCCCTGAGGAAGAGGTGTGCCAAGATGTCATGACTTTGACAAGAATATTATACATTCTATCTGTTCCAAAGGTGAAGTCCCCTTCCCAGACCCATGCTGCCCAGCTGCAGCGGAGCCTACAGGAGCGGAAGTCGACCATCGACGTGCTGGAGGGCCAGCTGGCGTCCGCGCGGAGAGAGCTCGCCAAGTCGGAGGAGAAGTGCAGAAAACTGCACGAGCTGCACAACAAGATCCAGCTGCAGCTGAAGCTGGGCCTGGTGGACATCCGGCAGCAGGTATTTATAAACACGAACTAATCGATATAGGAAAAGTCCTATACCTTACATTGTAACACTTCTCAACAAGAAACCTACCATCACTAGGAATTCTGGCACAAATATGTTGTAAAAGCACAAAGTGTTAGAAGGGAGGGAATTATTTGTGTTTGCCGACAATGGTTTGTTTCGAATAATTTCATGTTTGTCAAATATTATTTTGATGGTGTTTTATTTTTCTCATCATGACTGATGGATTTAGTTATTTTAAGGATCGAAAACTCAGTAATAAGTTAAGAACTGTATTAATAATATGTATTTTTTATTGTATTTACCTATTAATGTGTCAAAGAAAAATTTTATCCATATAATCCTTTTAGATATCTGTAATTAGCTGTGTATTAGTGTTTGTTTTCCTGTTTGTATTTCCATTTCAATTCAGTGCACAGGTCATAGCGCGCACTGCGAGGCTGTAAATTTTTTTTTCGTGAGAAATAAACCAATCACTACATGTACTACAGGTGCAGGACAACCGGAAGGAGGTGTCGTCCCACGTCGCCGCAGTTACAAAGCAGGTGTTCGAGGCAGTTGCAGGCCTGGAGAAGTCGGTCGCCAGTGAGCAGGAGTCGGCGGTCCGGGGCGCCGTCGGAAAAGCGAACGAGGAAAAGCAGGCGTTGGCCGCGGAACTCGAGGCAAAGCTCCAATCCGAGGTAAGTAAGTGCACAAAGATCAACCAAGAAGTCGAAGCTCTACAAAAACAACTGGAGGACAGGAAGACAGAAGAGCAAAACACGGCCCAAGAGTGGCAAAAGAAGTTAGCCGACATGAAAGCAGAGTTCGAAACGTCGCAAAAAGCGCTTCAGGGTCGCCTCAAAGAGGAGCACAAGGCAAAAATCAATGACATGAAAGAGACGCTGGCACAGAAGGAGCAGTTCGTTCTGGAGCTCCAGAGGGAAAAGGAAGTCATGATGGAGGACATTGCCGAGAGGTTTAACTCGGAGAAGGGTGAAGTCGTCATGACGTTGAGAAAAGAATACGAGGAGGCCAAGAAACAAGCCGTGACGGAACTCCAGGAGAAGCTGAAAGTCGACCACGGGAAGGCGCTGGCTGCTCTGAAGGACGAACACGACACTCACCTGAAGTCTGCCTGCGAGACGATACAACACGCCATGGACCAGGAGAAGGGTCGACTGGAGAAACAGATCAAGGAACTGGCGGACGAAGTGGAGAGCCTGAAGGCAGAGAGGGACGGGGAGATAGAGAGAGTGAGAGAGAGTATGTCGGAGGACAGAAAGACCGAAGTGGACATGCTGATCTCGCAGCTAGAGATTCACAAGGAGAAGTGCGAAGAGGCGTTACAAGAAATCGAAGCTAAGGAAAAGGAAATTACAAAAATGAAGGAGGACTTCAAGACTGAGAAAGAAGAGGCAATCAAAGCAGCAGTAGATTTGGAAAGAGAGAAGTCTCAATCTGAGATTCAGAAGCTAAAGGACAGACAGGAAGAAGAATTAAGAGACAGGGAGAATTTCGTACAGACCATGAAAAAGTCTTTCGAGATGGAAAAGAAGGAAGTGGAACAGGAGGTTTCGATGGAAAGATCGCGATCACAAGAGACAGTGGAAGGGTTGAAAACTCGTCACGAACAGGAACTTAAGGAGAAACAGCACGCTATTGCGAAGTTGGAGAAACACTTTCAGGAGCAAAAGGAGGAACTGCAGAAATCAGTTTCCGAGGACCAGCAGAAGTTTGAAGGGGAGATGGAAAAACTACGGGCAGAACTAGAAAGACAACTCGAAGAGAAGGACCAAGAGCTAAAATCACTGAGAGACACACTAGAGCAAGAGAAGGCTGAACTTATAGAAAAGGCTGTCAGCGAGGAGAAACAGAAGCGTGAATCTATTGTTGCAGAATTGCAGGATAACTTTGACAAACAGTCGAAGGAAACGGAAGATAAACTTGCTGCTCTACAGAGCAGGCTTCGGGAAACAGAAGAAGGCGCAAAACAGACCCTCGAGGGAGAAATTACAGCCATCAAAGAACAGCAGGAAAATGCCATCACTGAGATTAAGGCCAGTCTTACACAACAGATTAGTAGCCAAGAATCCGAAATCACACATTTGAAGCAGCAACTTGAAGACTTGAAAAAGGAGAAAGACGATGAAGCCAATTCCTTAGCTGGACTGAAAACTGATCTTGAAAGACAACTTGAAGAAAAGGAAACTGTGATCTCAAAGATGCAAACCCAGCAGGATAGTCTTGTGGCAGAGGCCGTTGAAACTGAGAGACAGAAGGTTACAGAAGAGATGAACAGACTGAGAGAAGAGAAAATGGAGGAGAGCAGAATTTTCGAAATGCAGATAGAAAAGCTGAAAGAGTCGTTTGAGCTTCAGAAAGCTGCAGCGGTGAAAGAAGCACTGGGAGGAGTCAGACAGGAGACTGGTGCTGCTGGGAACACTGGGGATGCAGTTACCATGGTGATGGAAGAGGAGAGGAAGAAACATGAACAAGAGCTCGACAGTCTGAGAAAGGTATGGATTATTTGAGGACAAGAGCTTTTTAGATTCTACACAAAAGTGGGATGATTTTCTATCCATTTTGCTAATTGTGTTTTACAAATACATATGGAAGAGTTGTTAAGTAGTACCTTCAGCACCAAGGACAGACATCACCTAAATCCATTCACAGCTTGCTGACATCCTAAGATGAACTAACAGATCTAGTTGACAACGCATCTTCTGTGTTTCCAAAGAAGTTAACAATCATGCTCCTGCGTAACCTGGCCTTTGGAACAACTTGCATGCTAAAACAAGTGCTTTCATTGCGAGACCATATATTTTAGCACTCACAGTTAAAAATTATTAAATGTAGCAGGTTGATTTTGAGACCAGAAAAAAATATGGTCTTAAAGAAATTGGAGTAACGTTCATCAATGCAGTGAGACATTTAGAACTGTTTTTTGTTTTGCACCTCGCAGAGTCTTGAAAGCCAGATGTCTAGACTGAAGGCCAGCATGCAGCCAGTGGGTTTTCACATCAGATTCTGATATTTCAGGGACCGTCTGTCACCTTCTTCAGGACACTAATGGCTGGTTCTGATACATACTGCAGCTAGGTATTGCTGCTGCAATATTACAAATGCGGTCCCAAATGTAGCATGTTGTCTCATATTGATGATTATGTTACCTTTCAGCAACAGCAACACCCAACTGCAGTAAGAATTTGAACTAGCCATTGTTGCCCTGAAGAAGATGAACAAGATGGTCACCGAAATGTGATAAAAAACCTTCCTACCGGTATACAGTATCTTGCCAACCTGATAAAATCATTCACAGATGATTACTATTCTTCACCCCACAGAGTCTGGAGAGCCAGATGTCCAGCCTGAAGGCCAGTATGCAGGCGGAGCGGCAGGTGGCCTTTAACGAGGCAGTGAGTAAAGTGGTGGCTGAGAAGGATGGGGAGATAGAAGCCCTGAGGCAGAACCACCACAAACTCATGGAGGACTGGGGCACAGATAAGGGTGAGACGGCTTGTGTGTTACGCTTCATTATATTCTGGGTACGTATGGAAGTATTGTTTTGGGTGGCTGAGAAGGACGGGGAGATAGAAGCCCTGAGACAGAACCACCACAAAGTCATGGAGGACTGGGGAACTGATAAGGGTGAGACGGCTTGTGTGTTACGCTTCATTATATTCTGGGTACGTGTGGAAGTATTGTTTTGGGTGGCTGAGAAGGACAGGGAGATCGAAGCCCTGAGACAGAACCACCACAAACTCATGGAGGACTGGGGAACTGATAAGGGTGAGACGGCTTGTGTGTTACGCTTCATTATATTCTGGGTACGTACGGAAATATTGTTTTGAGTGGCTGAGAAGGACAGGGCAACCAGTGCACCCAAATATTTTCTTGGGTTTTGTATGTTTAGAATAAAAAAAGATGTTAAATGTATTAGTATACAGCATATTCTTAGTTCAAGTGTCAGAAAATTGATAAAATTATTGTTGTAGTACTTTTCTTTAGAAATGAAACATAGTAGTTTTTGCTGACATTATACTAATTTCATTTTATATGGTGCACCCAAAATATTTTTTGAGCACCCAATTTTTTAGGTTGGGTGCACCAGTGTTGGCAGAGTTCCCAAAAATGAATTTCGAGCCCTGCTTGTACATATACATTGAAGTAAAGTGAAGTGAAGAAAGATGGGGTGATCCCTGTTTGTGGTGCTGATTTCTGTGCTGTTGTTACAGAGGTCTTATTGGTAGTTCTGGAAATGGCAATGGTTCTTTGGAATTAGAGGTGCTTGACCACAAGCTCTCGGGGACAGGCCCAATCCCCCCACATAGCATGGTATCCAGTCTCTCGTGGTTGGGGCAGCCTTTCTTTGGGGCTCTAATAGTTTTCCTCCTCCGGCTCAACAGACCTCCTGGTAGCGGTGTTGTGCCTGTGACAGAGTTTGGCACGCCGTTGTCAAAAACCCACCTGGGAACCTAGCTGAGATGGGCGGGGAAGAGCTTCAGCAGCCCTGAAGAAAATCTGCCCTAACCGCGATAGACTGGTTACCAGGTTACCCCTGACAGTAAGAGATTGTGTAACACAGGCTCATATCTGTGCTGTTGTTACAGAGGCCCTGGAGACTGCCCAGTCAGCCATCGCTGCTGCCGTGGACGAAAGAGAGAGGGCGCTGCGACTTGCTCAGTGGAGGGAGGAAGAACTCAGGTATTTTGAGATTTTTGCTGTATGAATTATTGAATGTATTGTGTGAATTTATGTATTGTCTGAACCATTGTGACCTTCTTTTGTCATCCTGAAATGAGGGGAGCATGATGCTTTTTCAAGTAGCTACTAGTGCAACATTTAAATACATTAAATGCTACATGTATGGGTACCAATTCAAGTGGCCACATTTCATGATGGTTTTGTCACTTCTGTGTAGATCTTGTTATGTTAACAAGCTGTTTGGTAAGGAGCCTAGGCAATCAAAATGCATCCAAAGCTGTAGGTTCTATTCTTGCCATAGTTGAAGGTATACAACCCAGATGCTAGGCTGTTGATAGGGCCTACACAGGCCAGCTCCTCGGCTCCAGGGCCAACATGCCCCCAAGGAAATTTTACCACAGACACACCCCTCAGTTAGTTAGAAAGTTAGTCTGGCATCCAGGCTACTGTAGACGGCATCACGAATCAAAATTATTAATCTGTAAACTTTTAACTGGCCAGTCACAAAAACCTCCAACAGCCATTAAAATTCATCCTGTGTATTTGATTTGATTTATTGAAATTGCAACAGTGCAATACACATGGAACAGAGGCAGCTGTTGTGGTGTTGTGTCCCGCACATAGAAACGAATACTGGACAGACAATAGTCATTTTCACTTGAGTCTAGTGGGGAAAGTCATGTAAAGTGCCTTTCCCAAGGGCATAAGATCGGTGGCATGTCAGAACTCGAAGCCGGGACCTCTCGATTCCGAGTTGCACACGAAGTTGATAGATGATAACTTTATGAACTTCATGTCTTTTCTGTGTTCCCCAGAGCACTTCAGGCAGACTTGGATGATGCAAACAAGAAGCTCGAGGAGAGACCGTCGGGGGTTTCTCACGAGAGAACGCCGTCCATCGAGCAGGCCATGGAGGCAGGGGATGTGGAGGGAGCTACTGGCATGACTGTGTCTACCATGTCTGCTATAACCACTATCAGGTAGTTACTTATGGTTTTTGTCTTCTTGTCCTTCGCCATGGTTAGTAACATGGATGGTGCATGGCGATCACAAGACCCCCGCCTACCCACGTCCCCTGCACTTCAAGCCCCAATCTCCAGTTTGGATTACATTATGTAGCAAGTGGCAGGGTACAGTTGAAGGGGCTGGTAACTGAAAACATACTGTTTTTGCTCTGTTTCTTCTTCTTCTTCAAAGACTGATGTCAGTGACCTGGACCAGATGGCTCTCACCATGGTAACTGGTGCTGTAGCAGACACCCAGTGGTGTTTGAATTACTTTATGTAGCAAGAGGCAGGTCAGAGTAGGAGGGGCTGGTCACCAAAAAAATGTACTTTATTATCTTTCCCTTTTGAGACATAAGGCTGTAAGGGATATGGAGGGAGCTACAGGCATGACTGTCTCTACCATGTCTGCTATCACCACCATCAGGTATGGTTAATCTTCATGGAAACGGAAAAAACACAGCAAAAACATTTGTATTTTTTTGTTCTGAAAATCACCTCAAACACACAGATATCAGCATTTGTATCCTGTTTTATTATTCAAAAGAATTCAAAGTCTAATTGAAGCACAAAAACGGTGTCACTGACTTAAAATTGTAAATGACAAACTCATGGTCCTTGTAAGTCAAAATAGTTAAACAGTAATAATAAAAGTAAAACATTGTCAGTAGTTCAAGTTCTTTATCACCAATTATCAGTTATTATTATAATTATTTCAAAATATTGCTTTACAAGCAAACTTGTGCATGTATTCACAAAGCAACACAACTTGAAATAAAAACACTTTTTCTGCAGGGAATTCAAAGGTACAATTTTTTTAGATAATCATTTACAGCCTTATCCAATACTGAAAACAAACTCTCATGACTACAGACTGTGTAAGTACAGTTATCTGTGTGAGTAAACCAATGTTTGTTATACTAGATGAAAGTTTGCTATGAACCTCTGATGTTCATTATTGGTGCCAGTCAGAAGCCACAGACATTGTGTTCCACTCAGAGCAAAGGTCAAAATAAAACTAGTATGTTGTAGTACAATTCTATATACTGATAGCCTGCATAGTCCAGTGGTTAGCAACCCTGCCACTTAGACCAAAGAGCAAAATAAAATTAAGGTGCATGTTAATGTCGCATTTACCTTAGCGGGACTTTGGTCCCAAAATGGCCACTCATTTAAACTAAGACAAGTTTGCACAGAAATATTCAGGATATTGAGTATTACTAATGGTTCATTGGTCCCAAAATGGCTGCTCCTTTAAGCCAATATCTTGCTGGAACAATAGAGAAATGATTATTTGTTCCCAAGGAGGTTATAGGCCGAGATATAACCTCCTTGTTTGGTCCCAAAATGGGACTGTCTTCCCAAGATGTACATCTAGGATTGTCAAATTACTGTATAGTAAATTTGATTTTTACACTACATTGTAGTGTCCTAGTCTCAACAGCTTCAGTAGTTGTGAAGTACGGAGACTGTTTGGTTCCCATGATCAGTCACCACCAGCTGTTCCTGTGTTGCCATGGCAACAGCCTGTGGCCCCTCCATGTCTGTAGTGATGTGCTTGAGGAATCTTCCTGCCTTGTCAAACATCTCTACACGTTTGTTGCCCTGGTCTGCTACGATGATGTTCCCTGCCCTGTCTGTGCAGATGCCACGTGGATGCTTCAGCTGACCTTCACCACTTCCCTCACCTCCAAACTGGAACAGAAACTGTCCATCCTCCTTGTACACATAGACAAAATGATTTGTTGGGTCAGTCAAAAGAATGTTCTCTTCTCCATTTACTGCGATGTACTGTTGATACCGGAAGCTCATTTCCTGATGTCCCCATTGGCTTATGTTCTTGGATGCCCTCCCCACAGTTCTCACAAGTGTTCCATCTGGCCTGAACACTTGCACTTCATCATGCCCGCTGTCTCTGTCCATTGTGGTTTGTGTGATGAGGATGTGGTTCCTCCTGGTGTCCACGGCAACTCCTCTGTACATCCTTGACTTCTGTAGGCCAAACTTCCTCAGCACCCTGCCCTGTTTGTTGTACTGCACAGCATAGTTAGCAGAGAATGTCCCTATGGACTTTCCCACCACCCACAGGTTCCCCTCCTCGTCCATGGCCACATCATCTGGTCTGATCTTCAGTTCACCTGACACGACTGTTGGGAACTGACGGACAAATGTTCCGTGCAGCGTAAAGACTTGGATTCTCTGATTGTCCCTCAGGCCACAGTCTGCTACAAAGATCTCCCCTTCATCTGACACTGTAACACCACATGGACCCCAGAACTGTCCAGTTCCTGATCCTGGTCCGCCAAATATCACCTTCTGAGGCTGATGGTTACCTTGCCTTTGGTTGCCATGGTGATGACCTGTGCCCCTTGCTGCATCATTGCTACATGTTGATGTAGGTACTGCTGGGATTGGTGCAGATGGGAGGGACTTGACGGATTGCCTTTGGTTACCATGGTGATGACCTGTGCCCCTTGCTGCAGGTGCTTCTGGGATTGATGCAGATGGGAGAGACTGGACTGTCACATGTCCCAGTACTGGCACAGGGGTGTCTGTGGGCTGAAAGACAGCAGGCTGGGTTTGTACAGGTGGAGTTGGTGCTGCTTTTCCTCTGTACTTTCCTACCACCTCTGTCAAAGCGGTTTGCTGACTGAGAAACTCAACCCATCCCTGCTGCAGCTCTTGTTCTGCTCGATCACAGGCAGCAGACAGTTCATTAATATCTGCCAACACTGGGTCCCTTTCAGTCTGTATTTTCTCTAAGTTCTCGCTGTGATTTTGCTCTGATTCAGACAAGAGGAAGTCTTTTCTCTCTGTAAGTTTTTGCACCATTCGGTTGTAGGCCTGAATGATGCCGTTCTCTCTCTGCTGTTTCTGTTCATCCATTTTTTTTTCTCTTTCACCGAGACATTTGATAAAGCTGCAGTAACTTTCCAGAATGTTCCTCCCCTCATTGATCAAGTCCTGGACTGTAGATCTCCTTTCCTGTACCTTTTTAAGGCCTGTGGTAGGATGTCCATCATGGTTGTCATCATAACACTCAGTACAAACTGGCGAGTTACACTGTTTACAGTAGAGCTTGACTTCTTCTGAGGGGTGAAAGCTGCACCTGTTTCCAGACTGGGGTTGCTTCACTGTTTCCTCTAACAGGGCTTCTTGTTTTTGGAGTTTCTCACACATACTTGCCGTGATAAGATTGTCTGGCAAACCTGCGACCCCCTGGCGTGGCAGCCTGATCTGCCGACGACAGTTTGGGCACTCGAAGGGCGTCCGAACCTCTGCATGGTCTCTCAGGCAGTCCTGACAGAAGGTGTGCTGACAGGGCAGCACCTTGGGCCTGGTGAACAGCTCCAGGCAGATGCTGCAGGACAGTTCTTCATGAATTTCTATCTTCAAACTTGACGGTGCAGAGCCCATGGTTGTTTTCCTGTGGATGTGTAAGTCACCTTCCAAGGCAAAGCTTAAGTATATAGTTACTGTAATATTTTGTTCTAGTCAACACCAATCGTTCAAGGGTACAAAAACTGCTTAGCTTTTTTAGCATTGTTTATTTGGATAAGAAAATATCATTCTAATGCCTTAACCAGTTCCTTTATAAATACATCAATATTTTGGAGATAGTGTGAGGCTAAAGCAACTTCACAGGTGATCAGTAATTCAATTTTCAATATAGCATATAGTACATCTAAGTAAGCTACATCTGTACAAGCAACATCCCTTTCCAATGTTTAATGGTATAACCCAACACATTTATGTACTTAGTAAATATTGTCAGTGGCCAGTGTAACATGATTGATACACTTTTAACCATTGCCTTATGACACTGAGGCACGTAGTACATTAGGTAAATGTTCAAGTTACTTAGTGCTGCCAAGAAACAGAGAAGCAGTTGAGCTAGACCATGTTAAGGTAAACATTATACATTTGCTTTGCAAACGTTACCTTTCTAGTTCCAAGTTTCATGTTGAAAGGTTACTGTATTGTGTGCTCTGTTCTTACAGTGATTCCCCAGGCTCAGAAGCTCAAGAGGACAGAATAAGGAGTCTGGAAATGGTGGGTAAACAGCTTATTCAGACTTCCACACTTCTACGCTATAAATTATAACTGAAAATACCACTGGTATTATGAAATGTGGATAAGGTTACCCTTCATTATGATATCTGATTGTATCTTTCCTTTCATTGACATTGTTGCGAGTATGATTGACCACACATTGGAAAAACTCACTGCATGTTAAAGGCTAATCTGACCATACTGCATGTTTTTTTGCAGAGTTTGAGGAAGAAAGAAGAGGAATGTATGACATTAAGCCAGAGACTGGTGAGCTGTACCTTACGTATAAATCTATTGATATAGGCATAGCTAACTCTTGTGTATTGTTCCTGTAACTACAGACAAAATATGTAGAGAATTTGAAGTACATTTTGAGAAGTTTTATGATTTCTTCCGACTCAGATGCAGAGATCCATGTCTGCCCTGGGAGGACCTACAGAGAAAGTGGCCATCAAGGAGTAAGTTCTGAATTATTTTTGTGCACAGATTTGAAACTGGTATATTGGGCGCTGGAATGACAGTTGCAGAAAACAGAACAAACAGTGTATGAGTATGATAATTATGAATTTTTTATGTCTACCTTCCCTGAAGGAAAACTCTGTTTCTTCTTCCTCTTCTTCCTTTCCAAACAAATAAGGTTAATGGCCTGAACCAGATGTCTGTCACTATGGTAACTGGTGTTGGGTTACATCATGTTGCAATTTTATACCAGGAGGGATTTATACTCCTGTCACAATTATATGAATGTGTTTGAGTAACAGAGCAGACCATATGCAAAGGTTAACATTATGTATGTTACCTTTCTTGTTCTGTTTTTCCTAACCATGTTGTTTACCCGTAGTTTCCAGATTGGTGACATAGTGTTGATCTGTCTGGATGAGAGACATGATAACTACGTTGTGTTCACCGTGGGACTGGTGCTGTACTTCCTACACTCAGACTCTCTCCCTGCACTGGACCTCAAGTCAGGTCAGACACAGAAATGTTTTATACTTTAATGCTGAAATAAAGTTGCATTTTTTCCAAATGATCATTATTTCATTGAAATATTCCTTTTCTTATACCTATTTTCAGTTTTTTTGTCAACTTTTCTATTTTAAGGTCACACTTTTCATTTTTGTTATTAAACTTAATATGATCTATACAATTCTCCACTTTGTGTATTATATACACTTTTGAGTATTTAGAACTTTTTGCAATTTGTTTGCCCCTTTTAACTGTCTTTTCCTTTCTATTTACTATTAGCGAAAGGTAAGAAACTTAAGCCAGTAGGACCTTCCTTCCTCCCCTTCATGTTTACCTTATATAAAATATGCTCTTCTGTCTTTCATGTCTTTCTGAGTGCACATAACATTCAATTATTTCTATTATGAATTCAATATGGCAAGGTCTGCCAATATCTGAAGTTTGTAATTTTCCTTTGTTTTCAGTAGTTGTCTGTAGATATAGATTTTATTTCAAATTTCACCTTTACCTCCCCCAGCTCCTGGTGCCCCAAGGAAACCATGGGTTTTGGGACAGATCACAGACAAGGAGTACTGCCAGGCTAAGAAGGTGGGTACTAGATCAGACATTAGCTTTCCAAGACTTACTTCCATATGAACACTGCCTGACCACAGTAATGCCAGTGATTCATTTTGTTGTTTTTGAAAATAAAAATTTAAGGCTCTTAAACTCATATGTTGGCCCCAACAATACTAGTTGAAGGAAGTCCCTTCTCTTCAGAGTTGTTACAGTTTTTTCATCTATCAATGCAGTGGTTTGATTAAAAGTTTGAAATTCATTGAATTACGAACCAAATTGGTATGTTGACTTCATGGCTCCTATCTTAGCATGTACATGTAGGGCTATCATATGATGCCTAGGCCTGTTTTTATTTTTTTCGGCTCTGTGGCTCCTGATTTCTTCTGAAAAAATCCGAAAAACAACAAATTAAATTGGTGTGGCCTGAGCTTTTTAAAGATTCTAAATCTTTTCTGTTGTTTTCCAGCCCCAGAACAGGTTCAAGGTCCCCGTCGGCACCAAGTTCTACAGAGTCAAGGCCATCCCGTGGGGCAGGAAGCTTTGAGGGTCATGTGTGGCAAACTTTGTAAGATACATCACATAGGGTGAAACATTATGTGCATGTACATGAGTAAGCATGTCGGCAGAACGTACTGCACCTGTGTGAAACCTGCAATGTATCGTGCATAGCACTTCGGCAGAATGTCTCATACGAGGTTATATTCCCATATATATATAAGGTTGACATCCCATCTGTAGTTTCCAAATGTTATGTCAGAAAAGATATCTTCTGCAACAGGCAAAATTCTGATGCAACGTTGACTAAATCCAACCAAAACCATGAAAAATCAAGGTTTTGCGCAGGCACAGTGTATTCTGCCGACGTGCTCATGTACAAATGTAGTACACATACAATGTTTTCATAAACCATTTGTAAATTCCTACCACCATCTACCAAAAAAGAAAGTACAATGCATAGTGCATCATCTGAGAGAGAAAAATACACCATAGACAGTGAAACATACATGTACAATGTACGTGTAGTAAACATATAGAATTTTCATAAACCATTTGTAAATTCCTACCAACATGTACCAAACAAAGTAAAATGACTATTATCTGGGAGAGAAAGATACATCATAGAAGGTGAAACATACATAAAGTAGACATCAAAAGTTTTCATAAGTCATTTGTAAATTCCTACTACCAAAGTGTATCATCTGGGAGAGAAAAAACACCATAGAAGGTAAAAACATACATGTAGTACACACATAGAAAGTGTTCATAAGTCATTTGTAAATTCCTACCGCCGTCTACCAAAGTACAATGCATCATCTGGGAGTGAAAAATACATCATAAAAGGTGAAATATACATGATTATAGTAAACATATAGAATTTTCATAAATCATTTGTAAATTCCTACCACTATGTACCAAACAATTATATACTATTTGGGAGAGCAGAAAAATATCAGATTCTGCTATAATTGTATGTATGTATGGCATTTGTAATGTCAGAATGTTTGCTGTCTTCAAAACTCTGGTACAAGATTGACTGATGACAGCTACTTTTAGAACTGTACAATCACGTGTATACAAAATACAGTACAATGGAGACCTACGTACAAGTATAACTTACCTGCTTACCACTACACATGTATGTGTTATAACTTCTCAACAAAGTATGTACTACTGCATTATCAGCAGTTTCATCTGTTGTCCCTATTTGTATCCCATCTTATGAAAAATATCTTAGATGACTTGTTACTTAGGACGATATTGCCAAGTACATGCACCAAGTTTATAATGTACAGAACTTTAGACATTGACCAACTCCCAGTTGGTTGAACTTAACTTGTACAGTTGAAGTTTTGTTTTCCCCTCAATAGAAGTGGTCAACATCTACAACAAAGACCATACTTTATATACAGACTGAATGGTCATGATATTTGATAGTCTCAATCTATTCGGCAACCGCTATGTACATGTATAAGGAATTGTGTATCCAAGAATTACATTATGTTATGTCTACATGTAGATCCGACTAAGGGAACTTTGTTGACTATACATGTACCTGTTACATTATATTTACTCTTGCCAAAATTGTGTAGAATACTGCTGCTTTCCCCCCCTATATTATACCAGTATTTTGTGTACAGTATTCTTTGTGTAAATATCTTTATGTGATATGCACTGTACAAAAATGTAGCATGTAAACAGGCATGCAGCTTATAAGAGTTGAAGATATAAAGTCAGGGTCTTGAATGTTAGAGATACTTAATGTGATATACTCATGATTGTACACACACATTTCACACTATGTAAAACATTTAAGTTCTAATATTTATTCTTGGTGCTAAGTATAATTGTCATCATGTGTGTACTCATGTTTAGCAGCCTATATAGCAAGTCATGTGTAATATTAAACCGACATGTGACCAATACGTCCATGCAATAGTAGATATTTGATTTCATATGTGCTTGAATTGTAGTGAACGGTTTACCCAAGCACTAAATGTTGTGAAAGAAATGTGTACATGTATGTAGCTGCTAGTCACTTGTACTCTGGGTGACTGCTACCATTTCTCAACCATGCACAGCCAGCAGAGTTTTGAAAGGAATCAAGTGCATATAACTGCTATGTTTCATCTTAAAATGGTGATTACAAATAGCAACTACAGTACATATATTCTTCTGAGAAAATCTACAGTAACTGTGTTATGTAAAGTTATACCATTTTGGGGAAATGTACTAGTAGTAGTCAGAAATTGCAAGATATTTTCTGCTGCATGTTGTAGGGTTGATCCTAGCCTATGGAATGTATAAGATTCCTATGCCAAGATTAGCTTTTAAGTGCTGTATGAGTGCAGATGATACAGATTGTTAGTTGTATGCAGCAAACCTGTACAAACTTTAATATAAATGCTGCTGAGTGCCATCGTAGAGATGGTGCAAAATAAAGCTTGTGAAGTGTGGACTCCTTATCATTTTTGTAGTCTAGTTATTATGTTTACCGAAGGAAAACATACATGTTTTGTTTTTACTCAGTTTCTTCCTCTTCTTTTCCAAACACCAACCTCTGACCTGGCCAATGACATGACTAGTTGACGTCTGTCACCATGGTGACTGGTGTTGGGTTTCATAATGTTGCAATTTCATGGTCTGCTCTGCTCCTGTCACCATATACTTGTAGTACATGTATGTGAATGTGTTAAAAATTAATGGCAGACCATGTCGGAACGTAAACATTACAAATGTTACTTCTATAGTTTTTCATCATTGCAGTTATTCTACTGTAACATACTTTTTTTGTGAATATGTTGCATAATGTCAAAGTATCTTTTAATTTAAAACTCCCAAAGTGTCAGGTTGTCTTATTTTTAAAGATCTGAGAAAAGAATACATAAAAGCTAAGAAAAGACAAACACATGTACATGTTGGGCAGACTAGCCTTTATTTATAGTAGAGATGTGTGTACCGTTCACCAAACTGAATCTTTGGTTGAATTTCTTCATATAGATCCCTCCTATACAGTTATAGATAATGGCTCAAAGAGTTAAGAAGTAAACTGAATTTGCAATGTTGATGTATTTACATCTTCGATGTAAGATATAAAACACGACATCTACAATGTAATAATACAAGCCAGCTACATGTACATGGTACACTTCACATTACAGAAAAGGATGATTATTTCTGTTCTTACTTGTTGCAGCATGTTCTGTTCACACCAGATTCACCATACAGCCACACATGTACATTTACTACAAACATAATTAGGGAGGACAGACTTAGCTAGGTTTTTTACCTAACAAGTATAAACGTAAAATCAAGGAAAATTTATCTCCCATATATTTCCACACTTACTACCACCAATTAGTTAATCTGGTTGGGTAAACTAAAAAGAATGACAAGTGCTACACTCTCTTTACCACTCATCAGTTTCAAAATCATTGAATCTCAAATCAGAATCGACTTGCCACTTTCAGATGGGATCGCATCACAGCCCTTCAAATTGCACTTATCTGGAAAAAAACTCAATCCACAAGTTTTTTTTTAATAATCTCTCACTGGAAGCCAATACTTGTTCTACTACACAAATAGTACAATATAGATCAGAAAATACATCAAATCTCTTCAATTACTGCTTATTTGCCAGCATCAAGTATTTAACATTGCTATTAACCTTGAAGCTACATCGTGGCTATATATGTAAGAAGATACAAGGACACTGTGCTCATAGAATTATTCAATATATATATAGTTTTTTTTTGCACATCGTGATAGGCCATATTCTTGTGAAAGGTGACATTCACCAAAATACCAGAAAATCTTGCTATTAGAACTCCTAAAGAAAGCTTCACCACTGGCCTATACATTTACACAATATTATCATAGACAAGCAGCAAACATAATTTATGCTAGTTGAATAATAATGCAGGTTTACCTTAACAAAGAAATGGCCATTCCTTTAGAAATGACCATTTCGTCTGAACCACTATGTAAATAGTTCACTCTTCTGAAAAGACAATATTGTATGGATACAACTAAACTAAAGGCAACCTTCCTTTGCACTGCATATAGTCTGAAGGCAAAAGTGAGCAGGGAAACAGAGGAATTTCCTTTCTGTGTATTTACTTTTCCATTAACATTGGTAGGTTGTTGATCGGACTTCCTTTTTTTGTGACATTGTCTAAGGCATCACCAATTTAATTTGTTGGTTCTGGGACTTCAAAAAGATATGTTTAACTGGGAAAATGTAACGAAAACAAAGCCTGAGAACCATATTGATGCACACAACTTTATGGAGTGAATACAGTCATAGAGTCATATTTAACTTTCCTTCCTGCCTTCTGCTTTGATTTGCTATATTTATGCTTACCTAAGCAGAAGGAAAACATATTGTTTTCGCTCTGTATCTTATTCCTCTTCTCCAAAGAAATAAAGTCAATGACCAGGACCAGATGTCTGTCACCATGGTAACTAGTGTTGGGTTACATCATGTTGCAATTTTATAGCAGGAGGGATTTAGACTCCTGTCACCATATATATGAGTGTTTGAGTAATGTTACTTTGAAATGTCCGAGAACCAAGGAAGCAAATTGGTGCGGCCTCGGGAAGGTCCTGCTTGTTGTCTTGTTGTTGTTTATGTCTCTTGTTGTTATTTATGTCTCAGTTGCCGGGGTGTAGGGCGGGGGAGGCGGCATCTTGGTCACAGTGTCATAGCTGGGAGGGAGCAGGGCCTGGTTGTGGGGAGAATACAATCTGTTAGTGTTAGTCATTCGGAAAACACTTCAAAATTGAAATTCATTTTTAGGCATACATGTAGGTGCTCTGGTGCACCTAACAAAAAAGCAGGGCTCGAAATTCATTTTTGGGAAAAGGTGTACTGGTGCACCCAACCTAAAAAGTTAGGTGCACAAAATTTTTTTGGGTGCACCATAATATAAAATATCACATCAGCAATAACTTATCATGTTTCATTCCTAAAGAAAAGTACTACAACAGTGATTTTATTATTTTGTGCCACTTAGATGTTAACAATTTGCTGTATACTATTGTACATTTAACATCTTTACATATGTAAACTGGTGTACCCACAGAAAAAAATTGGGTGCACAGCTAAAATTTTGGGTGCACTAAGGTGCACATGCACCCAGTATTTCCAGCCCCGATGTTGTAATGAGACAACATTATAAGCTGAGTCCTGACCTCAGTGTCGGGGCAGTAGATGACCTCCATGAGGTTACGGGAGGTGATGTACTTGTAACATCCCCACACAACACCGATGAAGTAAGCCTGGAATACAACACAAACAGTTACTAAACATGGACTATCACTAATCTGCACATGCTAACAGCATCTATAATACTGTGGAGTTTGGTAACTTTCGTTGTGCAATCGTAACAGGATCAAAATCAGAGAGAATTCTAGAGATGTGTCAGCATTTCATAGAGATCCTTTTAGAAATGGCATGCCCCAATTAAACTGCAAGCCCACAAGATACAACATTCCTTATAGGCTGTACATGTAAAATAAAAAAAATAAAAATTAACGGCTCTCAGTGGCCAATGTGCAGATGTTGTCACATTGGCGCACCAAATCCGTAGGCTGTTTTTGGCACACAGATTAGCCTAAGAGGCTCAGTGGGCGTCACTCCACCGTACAGGTGGGGAAGTCGTGTAAAGTGCCTTTCCCAAGGGCACAACGTCGGGCCACGGTGAGTATTGAACCCGGGACCTCTCGGTTCGGGCCTCTCGGTTCCGAGTCCAACACTCTAACCATTACACCACTGACGCTACATGTAAAAGGCACGAGGTAATTTTTTCCTGTAAAAGCCTTACCTTGATGATCATGACCAGGAAGAAGATAGCCATGCAGATCAGCAGCAGGTACTGAGGGTCCATCTTCATCAGTTCTTCACGGTACGGCAAGTTGGGCTGCAAGGACCAGAAAACATCGCGTTAACTTGAAACTGTATTCCCACCTTCAGGGGGCACACGCCCGTTTATTTCACGTTTCCAATCAAATTGACGGTGGCTCTCAAAATGATGTTACGTCAAACAAAATTAAGACTGGATGGCACACTGGTTGTAATAATTACAATGATGGTACGTAAGTCCTGATAATGCTTAAAAACTCTGCAGAGCCCTGCAGGCCTCGAAATTAACTTTTTTCACTATTGTCCCAGAATTGTCCCGAACATAGATTTCAATTGTCCCGAACTGAAGATGGACTGTCCCAGCCTGCTTTTCAGGAAATAAGTTGATGACAAAAATAAGAAAACAACAACTGAATTTGTACAACTTGAAGTCCACTTTATTAGTAAATGTAGGGAAATACATGATAATATCATGGGCATGGCACCGTCCCTGATATTTGGAATCCCTGATTGGTCAAATTTAAATGTTTGTCAGAGTATTATATATTTATAGGCTGCCAGCAGTCTGCAGCAGGATGGATGGATCGCGTTCCCAAATGACGTGGATGGTCTTAGAATTTTCCAATTGCCCCAAAATTGTCCCGAAACGTAATTTGAATTGTCCCAAGCTGAAAATTTAGTGTCATTTGACACTGGGACAATGTTAATTTCGAGCCCTGCCCTGTTTAGTAAATCCTGTATTTACCCTATAATGCGAGCTTTGTAAAATTTGTGCTGGACTGAGCTGTCTGAGCATGAAACTCCCCATCTCATAAAGGGAGACAAAAATAAGTAGCACTGAACTGAAGACCCTGTACCTTGCCCCCTACTTCTGCCGCAAAGAAATTTCTTGTTTTGTAGTAACAGGAAGATATGAAGGATAAAGCTGGGTGAACAATAAATGAAAGCCTTACGTTTTGCTCCATGAAGGTCCTGATGTTGGGCATGTAGGAGACGAAGCCTATGGCTGTGAGACAGCCGACGGTGAAGTCAAACACTTGGATACAGAAAAACGGCAGCAGGTAGCCTGCACGGTGCTGGGGGGGAGGAAGGGGGGAGAAAACAGTTTAGACCACACGTCTATTAACTAGAGTTATACCTTATATATATACACACATGAAATATTTAGAGCTTTTGCATGACGGGGAACAACGGACGTTAAGCCGTGCAGTGAGTATGAGTGAGTGTTTTGAAAATTTCATGCATCTATGCATGGGGATGTTCACCTTTCACTAACTACATCCTTCATACATAATTTCACAAATATGAAATTCCAATCATTCAAATCACAGAATATAAAACAAAAATCCATCCAGTTGATCTAGTTATCTTGGTGACTAACAGTTACACACACACACACACACACACACACACACACACACACACACAAAAAAAAAACGCCAAAATAGTAACTTTCCTTTTTCTATGGAGGAAAACTGCTGAAACCACAGCTTACATTTAGTCCTCTTACTAGCTTGCACAGACATCTACATACAGCTTTTTTCAACCTTGTTCTTCTTTTGTGACATGGAACCTATTTCAACACTGCTTTGCTATATATAAAGCTAGCGCATTTAGTTGTTGATAAGTGTACTGGGTTCTTTCCCTTACCTTTATAGCACCATACAGCATGAGCAGAGTCATGGTAAAGGTGAAGAAAGTGATGGCCAGGGCCACACAGTTATCTGTGGGGGAGACAGAATAGCTGTTAGCTTTGGGCAACTTGGTGAATTGTATATTCATGCCATGCATATGTATGACACATGCTAAAAAGTCCTTGCCTGGTTACCAAACCTATTATAGCTCCCGATTCCTATATGCTCCTCTCTGCAGCGGTAGGACTCGGGAGCTATAAATTATAATAGGTTTGGTAACCAGGCTAAAAAAGTCCTGTATGTATCAGCAAACCGGCAGCTGTCCATCTGTACAAGGCATTCCAGGGTAAGTGAAAATGTTTATACAACAGGAATTCAGCATGCACCTATCCACTCCAGGCTCCAAAAAGAGACTTCGCTTGCCTAGAAATTGAAGTCAAGTGCATCGAGCCATTAACACAGTATCAGTTTGAAGAACAAAGCGTCACACAAGAGAAGTAGAACATGCCAACTCAATCATACAGGGATACAAGTAGTACATCTAACTTTAGACAGAAATCCAGCATCAACTTTTCATGGAAGTCACGCAATCTGGTAAGTTTGCCCAAGCTAACTCTACTTTACAGGCAACGATACAACAAGACTTCATGCAAATCATGATACACAATCAGTGGTACACATAGATACAGTAGGTACAGAGACACAATAGATACAGAGGAAAATACCATGCTCTTCTTATTAGGTCATACACATGATACAGTACCCCCATTTTTGTCCTCTGATTCTCCTCCCATTACTGTGTAATAAGGGGACCACTGGGGAGCTACATGTACATGGGAAAAACAAAACTTTGCCTTTTAAGTTAGGTTGCTGTAGTGAAACAAATTAAAAAGATCATCAAAACTTTTTCGGTGAAGTATCATACTCATAGTCTGCTTGCCCAAGTTATCTTAGATTTTGACTTACTATGTCCTTATTCCTTGTACAATATACTTACAACTTACATGAGAATTAACAAGTGGTTTGATTTGATTTTGATTTTATTGAAATTGCTGCTGGTGTTGTGTCCCGCACATACATGTAGATATGGATACTGGACAGACAATAATCATTTTTACTTGAGTCTAGTGGGGAAAGTCGTGTAAAGTGCCTTTCCCAAGAGCACAAGATCAGTGACATGTCAGGACTCGAAACCGGGACCTCTTGATTCCGAGTCGTGCACGCTGCCATTGCGCCACACGACCCCACTGACAAGTGGTTAGGCCATAGCAAACAAACAAACAAACAGGCAAACAAAAAGTAACGTCACAACAAATAAACACACAAAAAAGTACCAACTCCCTACATTAATTACCAAACCTACAGAGAAACAAAACCATACGTACCGCTGCCGCGTGCAGTTTCGTTGCCGTTATAGTTGAGGCTGTACCAGGTGTCTCCCTTTGGCATGGCCTCCGGATGGGTGATCAGGTAGGCCAGCACCAGCATCCCCAGCAGGTGACACACCTGTACAGGTGATGCAAGGTGAGTAAAGGTGTGGTGGACAAAATACTGCAGCTACATGTAGAAGCATGTTGTACATGTATTGTGCTTAGCACTTTGGCAGAATGTCTCATATAAGGGCGTATTTGCATATATCAGAAGGATGGCATCCTGTTAGTAAATAATAGTAGTTTCAAAATGTTATGGCGAAAAAGATATCGTCTGCAACGGGCAAAATCCTGATGCAATGTTGACCAAGCATCCAGTGAAAACTTTGAAAAATCAGGGTTTCACGCAGGCGCAGTACGTTCTGTGCTAGCTACATGTTGGCACAACGTAATGTGCCTGCACAAAACAGTTAACCTCTAATGTATTGTGCATAGCACTTCGGCAGGACGACTCTTTTGAGTAATCACAATGACATCCTGTCCACAGTTTTCAAATGTTACGTCAGAAAAGGTATTTGCGACGGGCCAAATTCTGAATCTGATGCAATGTTGACCAAACATCCAGCAAAAAGCCAGTTTTCGTGCAGGCACAGACAGTACATTCTACCAACAAGCTACATCTAGCAAGATCAAATATCTGTACCCTACACAAACAACAAATAGTTTGTTTATTTACTCTTCAAGTTCAACATAGTTTGTTTATTTACTCTTCAAGTTCAACATAACTATTGAAGGCATAACAGGTGTCACCACCATTTCAAAGCCGGACATGTTTAAAAGTACATTAGAAAAATACTAGTATTACAACAAATAATTGTGTTAATTCTTGATAATATCATACAGGTGTTTTCCATTCTGGTATGTCCATGTTTCATTTTCATTTTCGTTCCTACATGTATAGACAACCATCCTAAAAACAAGTGGTTTTTGCATATCTGCTTCAAACCTTCAAATCTTGTACAGTACAAGATGGTATAGAATGTTTATGAAAATTTCCTATCTCTACTTATTTTTTTCACAGCAACAAATCAAAGCCTGCCTCAAAATGACATCACTTCCTGATATTATGAAATTTGATGACTGTACCCAAAGAAACAAAAGCTCGAACACAAAAGACCCGTCTTCAAAAATAAACATAAAGTCACGTACATTAAGTGCATTATCTATAATATAAATTCAATCTCAAATTGTTTGCACATTTCCGTGTTGTTCAGTCTCCTTGTTACTCTGACAACCATAAAATGTGTCATAATATAAATATTTTGCTGCTACTTCCGCAGATTTTCTGATGATACGTGTAAATCTAAGACCGCCATCTTTGTTTTTCACAAGCTTGTAAGAATATATCACTGTATTGTCAGACAACAGTCCAACATTTACGAAGATTCGCACCATGACATCTCCACAAACACACGAAAATCGATCTGGAATACACTGAAGAGTTACTTCTGCTGAAAATATAGGGTTTTAGCGGTGAAAAATGGCAGAAAATGGAAAAGAAGTAACGTTACAACTCACCAGGTGTAGGAGGCCGATCATGATGGCCCCTGCCCGGACATGCAAGCACCCGCAACAGCAGCGAAATTCGCCACGTTTCATCCCTTCTTTCGCCTGCATTCTGACCAAATCCTCGCCTCCTTCCTTAAAACAAATCCTTAACTACCTCCTGGTCGGACAAAACGGTAAGAAATCGAGTTAAAAACGCAGTAATTTGAAAAGGAACTGTTCCTCTCAGTTTCGTCTACTTCTCGTCCGACTTCTTGGTTACGTCATACGGGTCACATGATCTCATGTGACTAACATAACCGGTATCCATGCGCCGTGGTGGAGGTGACGACAAGCGGCGATGCGCCCACACAAAGTAGTCCTAGAAAACCCATAATTTTGTTCGGTCTTCCTGTGATTATGTTTCTCAATTTCTTTGCTTATCGGTGTGAATAATCATTTGACTCATCTCTATTCCAGTGAAACTAAACCATTACAATGTTATATCACGAATAGACGAGTGGCAGTTCGATTATAGACCCCCTAGCGTCCTTCTCTATTACTGCAGCAGAACTTCCTAGGGGGCGTATCTGGCAGATTGTCGTGATTTTTGGTGTAGATGCCTTACGCGATTAATGATGTAATTGGGTGATAATTGATGAGGAAAATTCATAAATAAGATGAGCTAGACGTGTCACAAATTTGTTATTAAAAGATCACTTGCAGAGCTTGATTGTATGTATTATGTCCTTCAGTAACGTTAGTCAGTGTAATATGATACGTAAAATGAAGGCTCAAGGTCATACATGATATGGAAAAAATATATAAAGCAAAAATGAGCAATCTGTAAGTAGGTGTACTCAAGATAAAATTTGAAGTGTGTTGGTACCATGATTTTTAATTTCAAAAATACAGCTTTTGATCATTGACACATTAACAGATCATATACGATATACTAGTAGTATTTAAACATCACCAAGCTTGTACCAAAGAGGGCATTGCATTTATTTTACTGTGTACAGTAATGGGAACATGTACATGTACATGTACATACAAATATTTGAAGTAATATAAAATATCATACCATTTTTTCTACCTACCTTCCTACCTACCTAGTCCCTCGACCTCTGGTACATCACATGTACAGAATATTTGTGATTGATAGGAGCCATGAAGTCAACACTAACCGCAGTAATTTGAAGTTAAATTGCACATAATTGTAAGATACATAACGTTACATTTGTAATACATTAAATTACAGGACCAACATTGAAACATCAAATATTTGAAGACCACACTACCACTGCTTCCAAGAGTCAGTGGTATGTCATGTATTTTTTCATGATCATATATTTAAAATTCATCTAAAACTCATCTATAGAATTTTTTTTCCTTTTCACCTCTTTACAGTCTGTGTGTCACTTTCCATTTAGCCTTTGGGCATGAGTTTGGAAACAAATCAAAAACAAAAAGTTAAATTTTTAAAACTTAATCAGCATGAAACAAGACTGGAACTGGGCAAATTATAACATTTCTTATACTGTCCCAACAGAGGTTTAGACGTCAGATTATTTTTGATGTGTTTTTTTCTGGCTTTCTGATTTTTTTTTTTTATCTTTCTGGCTTTCTGATTTTTTTTTTCCGTATCTTTTTTTTTTTTGCCAGCCAAACTATGGTGGCATATAGGATACTGCCCTGCCATTTTGATACTGTGTTCCCAATTTCATACTGTTTTGCAGCCTCCAAAAAAATTATGCTTGGAAACTAAATTTTTTCAAAACTTAGGAGACCTTCTTCAGCAGATCTTCCTTGGTGAAGCACTCTTCTTTATGCCCATTCTTCCAGTGTAGCGTCTGACATTCTACACTACAGTACCGAGCCAAGAGGCACCTGGCACAGGCTTTCAGTGGCTTCCCCGAATCGCTATCTGTTTTTCTACAGTCCATCCGAGAGCATATCACAGGCACGGCCGCTATGTGACACACCAGGCCTTGTTCCACGTGTGGCCCTTCTGTTATCAGTCTCTTTGGCTTGGGAAGAAACTTGAAGTACTCCGAGGGATGCCCTGGTTTTTTATTTCAACCTTGAGCAGTTCGGCGATGAAGAGCAACCGTCGCGCTTCCCCCACATCGTCGGAACCCCTTAACAATCTCGCGTTCATCTCGAAGAGTTTGAATCCGCCTTTTTCCTTAAACGTGTTCTTTTCCTTGTCGCTGCCCATCTCTACTGTGTAGTGAAGGATTCTGTAAGTGTAGTACAACGTCACGGGATTCGTTCCGTGCAACGTGTCCAGAAGCAAGTCATAACATTTAGAACGGCAAAATGGCTGCAGGACGTCTTTTCGTGTCGCCGCCACGAGTATATTATGGAGCGCCCTGAAGGGAAAATCTCTGTACGCCTTTTCGACTTCTCCCTTCTTTCTGATTTGTTTTGCGGTGCGAGCGAGAACTTCTTCGAATGATGGCAGGAGTTCAGTGAAGAATTGGCCGAGCTTCTTGGCCGCGGGGAGGTAGGTGGACATGGTGGAGATGGTTCTGAGCACGTCATCAAGAAACTGTCGGCTCTTGGCGATGCTCTCTTCGGCAGACGGCATCATCTAATCAAAAATAACACAAACGTAACAAGAAATCAGAGATTTGAGGCTTTTGGGAAATGTTTTGGGTACTTAGTACCTGTGAATCTGTGTAGAAAGATAACATTTTCAAAGAGAAGCATATGTTTACCTTCACATGATCTAGCTTGACAAACTATGGTTTTTGTTATTCTTACTCAAGCACAGCACATTCATAGATATGGTGACCAGCCCTTCCAACTGTGTCCTGCCACTTGCCACATAATGTAATCCAACATTGACATGCTACAGCACCATTGACCAACTTTAATATATATACAAGCCTGGAACACAACACAAACAGTTACTTAACATGGACTATCACTAATCTGGACATGCTATCAGCATCCAATCTATATTACCGTGGAGTTTGGTAACATTGTAACGTTGTGCAATTGTAACAGGATCAAAATCAGAGAGAATTCTAGAGATGTGTCAGCATTTCATAGAGATCCTTTTAGAAATGGCATGTCCCAATTAAACTGCAAGCCAACAAGATACATTCCTTATAGGCTGTACATAGTAAAAAAAAAAAAATTAACGGCTCTCAGTGGCCAATGTGCAGATGTTGTCACATTGGCGCACCAAATCCGTAGGGTGTTTTTGGCACACAGATTAGCCTGAGAGGCTCGGTGGGAGTCACTCCACCGTACAGGTGTGGAAGTCGTGTAAAGTGCCTTTCCCAAGGGCACAACGTCGGGCCACGGTGAGTATCAAACCCGGGACCTCTCGGTTCGGACCTCTCAGTTCCGAGTCCAACGCTCTAACCATTACACCACTGACGCTACATGTAAAAGGCACGAGGTAATTTTTTCCTGTAAAAGCCTTACCTTGATGATCATGACCAGGAAGAAGATAGCCATGCAGATCAGCAGCAGGTACTGGGGGTCCATCTTCATCAGTTCTTCACGGTACGGCAAGTTGGGCTGCAAGGACCAGAAAACATAGCATTAACTTAAAACTGTATTCCCACCCCTCAGGGGGCACATGCCCGTTTATTTCACGTTTCCCATTAAATTGGCGGTGGCTCTCAAAATGATCAAACAAAATTAAGACTGGATGGAACACTGGTTGTAATAATTACAATGATGGTACGTAAGTCCTGATAATGCTTAAAAACTCTGCAGAGCCCTGTTTAGTAAATTCTGGATTTACCCTATCATGCGAGCTTCGTAAAATTTGTGCTGGACTGAGCTGTCTGAGCATGAAACTCCCCATCTCATAAAGGGAGACAAAAATAAGTAGCACTGAACTGAACACCCTGTACCTTGCCCCCTACTTCTGCCACAAAGAAATTTCTTGTTTTGTAGTAACAAGAATATATGAAGGATAACGCTGGGTAAACAACAATAAATGAAAGCCTTACGTGTTGCTCCATGAAGGCCTATGGCTGTAAGTATTGATAAAGCTACAAACGTATGCAGCGTGTAGCTGGACTCCTTACAATAACTGAAATGCTTACATTTTGCTCCATGAAGGTCCTGATGTTGGGCATGTAGGAGACGAAGCCTATGGCTGTGAGACAGCCGACGGTGAAGTCAAACACTTGGATACAGAAGAACGGCAGCAGGTAACCTGCACGGTGCTGGGGGGGACGAAACAGAAAACAGGTTAGAACCATCAAACCTGGACAGCTACACGCAAACACAAACTAATCCTGAAACTGGGAACAGTACATTTGTAGATGCTGAACGAGATAGTGAGTGAGTGGTGTCTATCAATAATCTAAAAATATAATTTTACAAGCTTGTAAATATGGTCATAGTACTAGTACTAGTAGTAGTAGTAGTATATAAATATACATATTTGTTAATATCTATTTTGCGATCTGTATTTAGCCCAATGGAGCAAAAAGTGTACATATCTAGGTCTTCATTCATAACACATCCAACTTTCTAGGACAATTTAAGCAAGACATATTGTGGTACATACATGCATATTATACCCCTTACCTTTATAGCCCCATACAGCATGAGCAGAGTCATGGTAAAGGTGAAGAAAGTGATGGCCAGGGCCACACAGTTATCTGTGGGGGAGACAGAATAGCTGTTAGCTTTGGGCAACTTGGTGAATTGTATATTCATGCCATGTATGACACATGCTAAGAAGTCCTAGCCTGGTTACCAAACCTATTATAGCTCCCGATTCCTATATGCTCCTCTCCGCAGCGGTAGGACTCGGGAGCTATAATAGGTTTGGTAACCAGGCTAAAAAAGTCCTGTATGTATCAGCAAACCGGCAGCTGTCCATCTGTACAAGGCATTCCAGAGTAAGAGAAAATGTTCACACATCGGGAACTTTGCATGCAGCTAACCACTCCAGGCTCCAAAAAAGAGACTTCGCTTGGATAGAATTGAAGTAAAGTGCATCGAGCTATTAACGAGGTATCAGTTTGAAGAACAAAGCGTCACACAAGAGAAGTAGAACATGCCAACTCAATCATACAGTGATACAAGTAGTACATCCAACTTAAGACAGAAATCCAGTATCAACTTTTCATGGAAGTCACGCAATCTGGTAAGTTTGCCCAAGTTGCCTCTACTTTACAGGCAACGATACAACAAGACTTCATGCAAATTATGATACACAATCAGTGGTACACATAGATACAGTAGGTACAGAGACACAATAGAAACAGAGGGAAACACCA